CATCACAAGATCTTTTGAAAGTTTCCGCTTTCTTATTCACTCTCACTTTCAATTTTATGCTGTTGTGATTTTTTTTTCTTTCGGCACCCCCCCCCCCCCCCCTGCAACTTCTGTGGAGCAGTGCTGCGCGCTTGCGATTAGTTAATGTTGCTGGAGTTTTAGTTTTATTTTTTTTTTGTTTTGTTTTGTGGCGAACTTTGACGTAAAACCTGCCTTCATTTCTATGGGCGAGTGCCTGTGTGTGTGTGTGTTTGTGAATGGGAAAAGCTTTCTTTTGCAAAATATTGCGAAATTTTTTGTTTTGGCCATGTTGTTTTTATGTCATACATATTTATGTTTACCAGTTTCTTGTGACCGCTTTGCAAGACGTTGTGTCTCATTGCTGGTGTGTAGCTGGCCAAGCATACGATTACAGTCTTCGTGTACTTGTGCAGAATTTATGTACTAACTTGTCTAGCAAACATGGTTGAAGACAAAAAAAAAAAAAAAAAAAAGACGACAGGCCACCGGTTGAGTAATAATAATTTTTATTATTTTGTTGTTTCTTTGTTTTATTTTCCGTTGAATTCCCTCAACACGGGTTTTGCTTTCTGGGGCCCCAGAACGTGTTCAATATGAAGTAATACTTGTTGACGGTTTTTTCTTTCTTTCTTCTGTCGTATCACACATTAGCTTAAAGAAATGAGGATTTATGTCATTGTTTTATGACGAAGTTTGTATTCTTTTGGCTAAATGATGCAAATGCATATTCTATAGCATAGTCTTTGTCAAATATTGTTCTTGTTGTTGTTGGGGGATTTTATTTTTGTTTGGAAGTCTCATTTTAGGGTTTGAATAAAACAACACGTTTTGCTGTAGTGAAATGATTTGTGGTCAAACAAAGACTTTTTGTTTTTTTTTTTTTTAAGGAATTAGTGGTCTAATTTTCTTTCAAGCCGCATGAAATTGTAGGAGTTTAAGCTAGGCAAATATTTATACATTTACCCTCTACCGTATATATAATATGGTATTGTGTATAAAGATTGCTACAATTAAATATCATTGGGTTTGCATGTACTGAAAGTGACCTAGCTACAAGGTGGCTCAGGAGTAATCTTCCTATCAGAAAATGCTAAAAATTCTACGATTGGCCCCTAATGTCAGTTCGATATTTTTGTACTAAACACATGCTAAATACACGTTAATAAACAATATTACTCTACACTGCTACAGAACGCAGAAAATTTGTGACTATTTATTTGACAAATAATCCGTGGGTGACTTTGGCACAACGTGCATTTTGTCGCAGAAGTCTTGGCCGTCAAACACCTACTGGTGAAGAGACTGTTACAACACAAGATGCTGCCAGGCGTGGCAGACCCCGGAATATCCGTTCTACAGAGAATATTGCTGTTGTTTCCGAGGTTGTCATGGAAGCGCCGACGACATCGACCAGAGGACATGCCACGCAAATGGGTATCAGTCGACGGTATTTACAGCGAATTTTGGTACAAGATTTGAAGATATGCCTGTACAAAGTCCAGATGGAGCATCAGCTATTAGCTGCTGACCGTCAATCGCGTGTAACATACGCTGAAGCCCTCCTTAATCACCATGAGGCTCATTTTCATCTTAGCGGATACGTATATAAGCAAAATTTACGCTTCTGGTCACCCTGATGTAAAAAAAAACTGAAAGACCAAATAAAAATAATCCACAGGAAGATGAATGAATTTAAGTTGTGGGCATGGCTTACAGCTTAAAACGCCTATTTCTGTTACTTTGGAAAGTTCTTACAAATGTCTGGGAGAATTTAAAGTCAATTCATACCAGTAAAGAAAGTCTTAAAGTCGGGCGGGGCCGACTTTATGATACCCCACACCACTTTGCTAATTTAGTAGAGCTCCGCATAACAATTAAACCTTTTAATGGGAGAATTCAACATACACGCTACAATTATAATCATAATTATAATTATATATAATTATAATTTAAAGTTCAAAGGACTAAATATGCCGATGCATTTGTATCTTTTAAATTCGGACTTGTATTGCCCATTTGGTGCACAATTAATTTGAAATCGGATAAAGATATATATGGGAGCTATATCCAAATCTAAACCGACTTCAATAAAATTTGGCAAAGATATTTCTGATCTGCATTTGATATATTTCCCTGAATATCGTTGTTAAGGAGTGCATATTACGGCTGTGGGTAACATATATAACAAATCGGATGAACAGTATATATGGGAGCTATAGCTATATCTGAACCAATCTTCACCAAATTTGACATACTAGCTTCTAGACTCAATTCGGTCCTAAGTGCTAAATTACATCCCATTTGGACAAATATTAGACGTTTGGTGCACAATAAAACGTAAATCGGTCGAAGTTTTATATGGAAGATATATCCAAATCTGAACCGATCTCGAAAAATAAATTTGGCATACTTATTTTCAGGCCAAATTTGGTTGTATGTGCAAAATTTCATACTATTCGGGCTGATATTACACGTTTGGTACGCAATAAAAAGCAAATCGGACGAAGATATATATGGGAGCCATATCTAAATTTTGACCGATTATCTCCAATTTCAATATTGTTCGTCCTTGGGGCAAACAAATGATCGACTCAGAATGTGATTCTATTTCCAATAATTTGCTCTTTACACTTTTTTATATATGAGAGCATTCCTGGCTCACTCCTCCTCGAACTAGGGTAAAGGTTTAGTCTGAGAATGAAATGGAGTTGAAAAAAAACTATTTTGTTTTATCATAAACATACATATAAACACAACATATGTATGACGAAAACTAAAAAAGTACTCGATTTCGAGCGGCTCAAAAACGAGCAAGCATTCTCGCTCTTATTCGAGTGACATCGATAAATTGTGTATACTCGATTTTTTCCTGCACGAATTTGAAACCCATAGAATTGTTGGTATTGGAAATAGGAGATATTGCTCGGCGGTTTGGTATCGCCTCCATATAATGGTAGCACCCGAATTAAGGTATTCTTGTGGGGTTAGTTACTTTTCAGTTTCAGTTTATTTTCCCAGCGACGATTTTCCATACAGTTCCTAATTATCAGCCATTTGGCTAAATAAGATATATATATCATTTGATGCGGCCAAAACGAGCCTCATCGAAATAACGGTTTCAGGTCGCTTTGGACCACACCATTTTCAGGACATTTGCAGCCGATTCAGTGGTGTCCGTCTGTCTGTGTGGCTTGACAGCTTTTACACACTATAACTCTTGAAGGGAGCATCCGATTTGGTCCAAACTTGCCACATAGTAATATTATTATCAAACTTAGATCGAGTTCGGAGATGGGCTATATTGATTCACTCCTTCCGGTATCTTCCCCACAAAAGATGAAAATTGTCAAAGTAAATAATTTACATCATAGAAAGAGAAAGGGTTATTAGATTTTCTGCAAACTCCACAAAACCTAATGTTTTTGTCTGTACTAGGTCAGGTGCGAAAAAGGACAATATCGACCCACTCCATCATATACCTCCCCCACAAAGGGTCAAAATGTTGAATAATTATAAATTGTAAATTGTGAAATAAGATAAAATTTCGCACATATCATTTTTATCAACGCAAGCTTTGTTATGAAAAATGAATAGAACAGGTCATTGCCTCTAGTACCTCCCCCACAAAGGATCAACATTTTGAACAATGAGAAATCTCCGATCGGTAGTAAGACCCTGCCATTCAATATTTGTTGCGTTTGGGCAGAAATGCATTTTAAAACCATTTCCAAGGGGCTCGACAAGCAAAAATTAAGCTTCCCATTTGAAATTTACAAGAAAAAAATCAGAAAATGAAGATTCGGACCTTAGGTTCTCCTTCCGTATATTCATGTAAATAAGGCATGTAAATAGGGTCCTTAAAAATAGTAATTTAGTTCAATCCAATAAATCAGCTCCTCCACAAAGCAATGCGTGAAAGTTCGCTTAAAAGCGAATGCGATAGAACGGCTGCCACCGTATTTCACAGACCTAGACCCACGTTTTAATAAAAGTAAAGAGAATCATAAAGAATCGACACTGATCTAGGATTGAGAAGAAGAAAAGCATCAAAGAGCCGAATAAGGTAAAAAAAGTTGATATGAGGCTAAAAATACTAATTGGTATAAGAATAAGATAAGAGCATAAAAATCGACACGTGCTGTGTCCTCTTAATGGTAAAACTAGCGAAAGAGAGAAAGGAGGAATTCGGGAACGGAAAACTATTAAAAATGTAAAAATTAGATGGCATATCAGCCTATCAGCTTCTGATCAACATATCAGTCCATCAGAAGCTAACAGTGATGATACTCTTTTTTACCCGACCAAATGTAAAAAGTTGGTAAATATAACCATATTCGCTTATTTTCTCTTAAATCTGTCTAAAACATGAACTAGTTTTTCGAGTTCGGGAACAGGTTTGTAGTATAAAGTTAAAAAAATCGTAAAGTGGTATATTCTGGCACGTCGAAGCTATCTGCAGTCCATAAATATGTGTGACTATTTCCTAGCTTAAGATATAGCTTGTTTCCTAAATTCCATACATATTATCGACACCAGCTATTACCGTTTTGTGAGGCTTTAGGCTGTTTTCCCCGATTTTAGAATTGTTACCCTAAAATCGGCACCTTAATAACGCGTTTCAAAGGAATTAACAATCTAAATAATGTGTAAACATTTTTACTACGCTACCCGATTTTACAGTTATGGTATTGAAAAAAAAATTCGCAAAACTAGTAGGTTCTTGCTGGTTCTGGAACATAGCACTATTTTCATAGATTTAAAACATATTTGAAAAAAAAAATTTGTTTAAAATACCGAGCAGCACACCTTACATTGTATTATCATGGCATATTACAAAGAAACCACTTATCATTAACAAATTTAAACAAAATGCAAGCTAGCATTAACAAAAAAACAATCAAATATAAACAAAAAAAAAAAACAAAACTCAAAAAAAAAATAGAAACTCAAACAAGAAATTATAACAGAAAAAAATTTACCGTTTGTTTTGCAAATGAACCCCAAAAATGGAGATTTCCTGCCTGGAAAAACAAAAGAATTCAAGAAAAAAAAGATAAGTGAACAGAAATCATTGGGAAAAAATTAAAGAAAAATGAAACAACAAAAACAAATAATTGGCACGCATGTTTGTTTTTGTGTTTTTTGTTTAAAAACATTTTTGGCAAACGCAAACGGACATAACGGTGGTGGGGTGGGGAGAAAAAGCAAACTTAACGACATTCGATTTAAATGAATTGAACGATTCAGAAGATGCTGGGCAACAGATAATTGTGATGAAGATGATGACGATAACGATGATCTTTATATCTGGCATGGCATAGGGATTAGATGATGAGTGTCAATGGCGAAAAAAATATTAATGAAGAATGAAAACAAAGACAAAACAGAAACGAATATATTATATACATATAATTTTTGGAAACACGCACAGCACCCAGTAACAAAATGACTCAAAGTTTTGATACTTTTACTTTTAATAACACTTTCACTGCAAAATGTATCACGAAACAAAGAATGGATTTTTTTTTTTTTTGGTGTAAGAAATTCAGATGGAGAGTTTGTATGCACAAAGATAAAAGATATTTTAAAAAGGGTTTTATTATAATCTCAAAGAGTTTAGCTTCGAGAAAAACGCATTTTAAATTACAAAGACATTTACTTGCAAAGGGGTCATCAGATATTAGTGCTAAACTTCTGTTCAAGGTCAAGCATGGTATTTAAGTGCTTCATATACACAGTGTAGATCAAGTTTGGACAATGTTTCAGGCTATTAACATTTATTAGCGGTGGCATCCACGAAGTTTCCCAATTAAGAGTAATCCATATAAAACGTACTTCACCATAGTATGGAGGGTATATGAAGTTTGTAACACCTCGAAGTATACATTCTTAGTCCGCACAGAGTTTATCTATTTTTGATCAGCATAAAATTCGATGTTGTCTTAGCGATGTCCATCCGTCTTTCTGTCCGTCTATGGAAATAACTCTAGCTTCTGAACGAAATGCTTCATTTGGTTGATGAAATTCAACTCACATGTGTTTTAGGTGTACAGGACCCATTGGGCAATATATGTCCATGTGTTGGTATAGGCCCTGTATAACTACCGGTGGATTTTACTTTTTTGGGGGGAATTTTAGTCACAATTTCAAACTGATTTTGCTGCAAATTGGTATTTTGTGTTTCCACAATATAGGAAGCATCTTTGCATAAAACTGTCCATATACATTTAAGTTTTGGTATAGACCTCATATAACTGTACCCCCAGATATTCGGTATTTTGATGATTTTTGTCACATTTTCCCCAGAAATTATCACGAATTTGGAGTTCACGTGGAGTACTACCTACTATGACAACGAAAAAAATTGTGTACAGTTTTCCACGCCATTGTATAGTTCCCAAGTTTCCCAAAATTCGATATTTTGATAAACTTGGTATTTGGAGTTCGCAATAGGGACCGCCATCGCTGGCAGATAATTGTCTGTAGAATTTCACGGTTTAGTGTAGGCCCACATAACTTAACCTCCAGATATTCGGTATTTTGATGATTTGTGTCACACTTTTCACCGGAATTGTTTCAAATCTGGTATTTTAAGTTTGTAATGGATACTACCTTCTATGACAAAAAAAGTCCTATACAGACTTCCACGGCTTCGTATAGTCCCCATATAATAGTATCTCCCAAAATTCGGTATTTTAATGATTTTAGCTACATTTTTCAACAGAATTATTTCAGATTCGAAATTTGGAGCTGGCCCACTTCCTGTCACGGAAAATTGTCCATACAAATTCATGTTTTCGTATAGCCCCATAGGTAACACCTGATATTCGATTCTTACCGGCATTTTTCAATAGCCTTTTTTAAGTTTTGAAAGCTCCTTCCAGATGGTGTAAGGTATTAAAGTTTCGGCCCAGCCGAACTTAACACCTGTTGCTACTTTGAAAAAAAAAAACATTTAATTGATCCCAACAAAAACGTGGGGGCTATATTAGTTGCATAACGCCTTATAAGGTAATGCAAACAAACGACCTTCGACATCATTAGTAGGTTGAGAATAATGCTTTATTCTTTTAAAAAATTTAAAGCAATTTTTTTACTTTTCTCATTACCAAGTAATGCTGTCTTAAAGAGTGCACATCCTGCTCAATACCGAAAGTTGTGAATTTGAGACTCAGCGTCCAATTGATAGATGTAAGATTTTTTTGTGAATGCATTTTCTAAACTCACAACTGAAATTGAAATGAAAACAACAACCGAGTATTGTCGCAAATTTCCTCCAAAAGAGCATATTATGTTTTTATATTCAAAAGCCACCAGTCTTTGCAATACTCTTTTGCTACTGTTCTCTTCTTTGCATTTGTAAACGATGCCAACAACAATAAAACTTGTATGCTACTACATATGCGCACACACACAAAGCTGAACACAAAATAATTTTTCTACTCGACTCGTACTCTATTTCGATCATTTTGACTTCCGCTCTTAGTTTTATAAACAGGAGTGCTCACTTACGCTTGCATATAAAAGACTAGGGGGGAGAGTAAACTTTGTGTAAAACTCCTACGAGCTTTCCCGCTTGCGAGTAATATTCACTCGTGAGCAAAACTGAGTAAATCGGAGCTCTGGTTTAATTACAAATCGGAGGATTGAAACTTAAATTCCAGCAACAAACAAAATAAAAATTGGAAAAGTGGAGAATATAACAAGGACTCCAAAGAATAGATTCGCAGTGAGTCAAACTTTTGAGTAACGGCGGGCTGACAATGCCTATTTCTGAAATGAACTGTAAATTGAATTAAAACATTTTTGTTCAAAATTTCGTTCTTATATCTCATTTCCTTCTTTTTTTTCCGACACCGTCGCAGATGTGCCATAAGATGAGATATTTTGACTTTAAAATACCATTATGCCGACCAAATGGATGCAATTTTTTCTTGGCAGAGAGAATTAGCTATGCGAATGTTTGATCCGGGTATTCAAATATGAAACCCGATTAAATCCGGTTTTATACAATTGATTGATTGTCAAAAATATGATTTTAATTCGACAATTAAAGGTAAAAGATAAAAGGTAAATAGGACGAAGTTATATATGGGAGCTATATCCAAATCTGAACCGATATCGATAAAATATAGCAGAGGTATTTCTGAGCTTCATTTGATATATTTCCCCAAAATATTGTTGTCACAGAGTGCATACTACGGCTGCGGAGGACAAAGATAACAAATCGGATGAACAATATATATGGCAGCTATAGCTATATCTGAACCGATTTCGATCAAATTCGGCATATTTATTTGCAGGCCTAATTTGGTTATATGTGCACAATTCCATACTATTCGGGCAGATATTACACGTTTGATGCACAAAAAAAGGCAAATCGGACGTAGATATATATGGGAGCTATATCTAATTTTTTACCGATTATCTCCAATTTCAATTGTGTTCGTCCTTGGGCCAAACAAATGTTGTTTGGAAAATTTCATCTCAATCGGATAATAAATGTGACCTGCATTTTGTTCACAAGGATACATGGACAGACGGACGGATGTACAGACGGACTGACATGCATAAATCAACACAGAAAGTGATTCTATGAAGATCCTCAAAAGTAAATATGGGTCTATCTCGCTTCCTTCTCCATGTTACAAACAAATGCACAAAGACATAATACCACTGTGTGGTGTAGGGTATAAAGCAGTTTAGTTAGTCGACTTCAATCTCAGTAAAGTATTTATAAAGTAGTAGTGCAAATAAACTATATTTTGCATTACATGTAGGTTGAAAAAAGTGTGCCTCTTTTTATACCCTACACCACAAGGTGGTCAGGGTATTATGTCTTTGTGCATTTGTTTGTAACAGGCAGAAGGAAACGAGATAGACCCATAGTTCCTTTTGATGATCTGCATAGAATCACATTCTGAGTCGATTTATGCATGTCCGTCCGTCCGTCCGTCCGTCTGTCCGTCCGTCTGTCCGTCCGTCTGTCCGTCCGTCTGTCCGTCCGTCTGTCCGTCTGTCCATGTATTTTTGTAAACAAAGTACAGGTCGCATTTATTGCCCGATCCAGATGAAATTTTGCACAGATCATTTGTTTGGCCCAAGGACGAACCCTATTGAAATTGGGAATAATCGGTCAAAATTTAGATATAGCTCCCATATATATCTTCGTCCGATTTGCCTTTTATTGCGCACTAAACGTGTAATATCAGCCCGATTTGTATGGAATTTTGCATATACACCCAAATTAGGCCTGAAAATATGTATGCCAAATTTGATCGAAATCGGTTCAGATATAGCTATAGCTCCCATATATATGGTTCATCCGATTTGTTATTTTTGTCCACCGCCGCCGTAATATGCACTCTGCAACAACAATATTTGAGTAAATATATCAAATACGGCTCAGAAATATCTTTGCTAAATTTTATCGAGATCGGTTCAGATTTGGATATAGCTCCCATATATAACTTCGTCGGATTTACTTTTTATTGTGCACCAAACGTCTAATATTTGTCCAAATGGGATGGAATTTGGCACTTACGAGTCTATTGAGTCTAGAAGCTAGTATGCCAAATTTGATGGAAATCGGTTCAGATATAGCTATAGCTCCCATATATATTGTTCATCCGATTTGTTATTTTTGTCCACAGCCGCCGTAATATGCACTCCGTAACAACGATATTCAGGGAAATATATCAAATACAGCTCAGAAATATCTTTGCCAAATTTTATCGAGATCGGTTCAGATTTGGATATAGCTCCCATATATATCTTTATCCAAATGGGCAATACAATTCCGAATTTTAAAGATACAAATGCTTCGGCATATTTAGTCCTTTGAACTTTAAGTTATAATTATAATCATAGCGTGTATGATTGAATTCTCCCATAAAAACTTTTAATTGTTATGTGTAGCTCTACTAAATTAGCAAAGTGGTGTAGGGTATCATAAAGTCGGCCCCGCCCGACTTTAAGACTTTCTTTACTGGTTTTACCATAGAAGTGTTTTCGGGATTAC